ATCAGGTGGCATAGACAAAGTAGTCATCTAAGAAAGTAAGCATAATCATAGCCAAAGATAAACTTCATCATTTTAGGAGCAGTTTTGTGATATTTATTATCTATTGAGAGTATTTATGTGCACTTTTTACCCTGAGAGAATTCTTGCAAGATAGCCTAAACATAGGAGTATTCTTGTGCCTTTTTTTCCTTTTACATATTAGGTTTATAAAATGGGTGGTGATAGTCACACCCCACCCAAACACTAACTTCACTCCACACACTAAATTCACTCCATTAGTTTCAAAATTATTTTTAATACTTATTCAAAAAAAATATTTTTAATCCATGAACTCATATAAAACATTTTCCAATTTTAAGGTATTGATAAAAGTTCTAGTTTGAATCATAATATAATAATAGTTTAATAACAATTATATTTTATTCTACTAAATAAGGAGTACATTTTAACTATTAAATATGATATCTCTTGAAATAAAATTTGTAGCTTTAATAATAATTCACATTTATTAACAATTATGTAGATTTTTGCTCTTGAAAATAAATAAAAGAAAATAATGGTGAATAATTTTAAAGATTATGCTCCGTATAAAATTTTTAAGTAAAATTTATATAACCATCTTTTTAAAATAATAAAATAACTATGTAGATTTAAAAAATGGTGAAATAGATACTGATATAATACTTAGAAAATAGAAGATTTTATACAAAACCAATGGTCATTCAATGTATTAACAATGAAAGTCATTTTAATTAATGAAAAATTAAAAGAAGAGGCGCCAACTTTTATAATTAGAATTAAAACTAAAATATATATTATTTTATTTGAAAAGTAATAAAATGAAATAAATGATGAATAATTATAAACATTGTTTTGTAATGTTTTTTTAACATAATAAAGTAATATAACTTTTTTGAATAATAACATAATAATATATCCGGGGTGTATTTAGTTGACGGGTGTATTTAGTGTTTTAGCGGGTGTGACTATCACCACCCTAATAAAATCTCAGTTGTATGACAAGCATGTGTGGTCTTAGGTGAAGTTTGGAATTGTTGTGATTTTTTATGGCACCCTAATCTTTTCTCAAAAAGATTGATTAGTAGAAAATTCTGGTGTTTTAGATTGAAAGTTACAGCTATTATACAGTTTACAAATCACAACAATCAAGAAATTCTTTTCAACCACAACTCTGTTTTCTGGAATATTGATCATTGCTTGTCATTTAGTCGTTTAATATCAGTTTGATCGCAGCTCATTAGCAAACACCTCCGCATTCATATCACTTTATATCATAAAGTAGCAAACAGATTTTCTTTCGCATTATAGCCCAACACTTACGATTCATAGTTCAACACTTTATAACGACAATACCAAAATAAATTTTGTTTTACTAACCTGTGTTGCTTCCTTTGATCATGGGATAAAGCTTTTTCTACTAATTGGATTGATGATTGAGAGGATGCCATGAAGCATCTTTGGTTATGTTTGACTTGAGGTTTGAGAGGTTTTGGAGGAGAAGGGGAAGAAGTTATAATTTTCCATATAAAGTGCACTCTCCTTCTCAAAAAGATTTTCCCACTTCCCTTTCGTGGTGCTCCTCGTTGAGCGACGCGAAGATTTAGTGGCGGTGGGGATAAGGTGGGAGTCTCCTTGGTCGCCCTGGAATCACCCAATGACAGGTTGGATTCGTGATGTCATTCTCTAGAATCCAAAGACTTTAGACTAATTCTTAATAGAGACAAGTTTCCGTATCTTGGTTTAGTCATCCATGCAAATGGGGAGATAGACGTGAATGTTATTCATCGTGTTAGAGCCGCTTGGAGCCTTGTACAAAGTGAGAGCTGGCTTCAGGGGTCCTGTGCGGCAAGAACATATTGGCTAGGATGAAAACGTTCTATCGGTCCTTAGTCTCGCTATGCTTTACCGAGTAGAGTGTTGGGTGGTTAAGAAAACCCACGTTTGTCAACTTGCAGCGGTAGAGATGCAGATGTTGCGGTGAATGTGTGGACTACCAATGTTGGATGGGATTTGAAACAGGGTTATCCGCGGACGGGTGAGAGTGACACCTATAGATGATAAGCTGTGGGAAGCGAGGTTGAGGTGATTTGACAGCGAAGTGCAAAGGCCCCAACGCGGAGATGCGAGATACTTACATTGGAGGGGGGTGGAAGAGGTAGATCTAGGAAGAGTTGGAATGAAGTGATTAGACAGACTTAATATTTCTGGCCTTTACCAAGGATGTAACCTTACATAAGAGCGTATGGAGATCTAGGACTAAGATAGTTCAGTGGTCATCTGTGTCTTGGTGGTAATTTTTTCCTTGTCTTTGTGTGCATTTTAAACATTCACGAAGATAGAGGTCATTTTAGTAGACTTCTCTCTCGCTGAGGGAAGCCGACCTACAAGGCTGTCAGACCAGGGTGTTGCTTTCCAGGTCGGTTTCCATTTAAAATCTAATTCTATGGGGTTTAAATTGTGCTTGGGGTCTAGTTGTTCGAGGTAGTTTGTGGGCTTTTGTTTCTCTGCACTTCTTTGCTGCTAGTTTGCTCTTTTGCTTCTTTGTTTGTGCTCGGTGCCTTCTTTGTTGGTTTACGTTGGTTGTGCTCAAGTTGGGAGTCTAGTCTCTCTACTTTCGACTAGGGGTCCTGTGTACACATACCCTCCCCTACCCTACTTTTTGAGGAATTTTACTGGGTTTGTTGTTGTTGTTGTTGTTGAACGGGTCAGTAACACGGTCATCCCAAAATCAACCTTCCCCTATTACCATTTCATTTTAAAGAGAGGAACATATGGTTCACAACATTTCTCTCATCTAAATACGGATTAGTTTTTTAATCATACATTTTCCACCTTTCTAACACTTCGTAAACTCTGGGAAGTCAAAATGGGATATCATTTTTGGGACATAGGGTATACTGGTTTGACTTGCTAATTTTTCAAAACAATAGATACAAAATTTTAGATTAATATAGGCTCAACATAATAGTCATTCATTTACTTCCATCTACTGTGTGTTTCTTTTGATCTTTTCATAGTATGAAGGTTCTTACACTATGTTATTTATATAGGTATCAACTGACCAAAGGCAAAGGCTGATGATGTCAACCGAGAGATTAAATCAATCTAGCGATAGGATTAGAGAAGGCCGAAAAGTGATGCTGGAAACCGAAGAGCTCGGTGTTTCAATTCTTCATGATTTGCATCAGCAACGCCAGTCTCTTCTTCATGCTCATAACACAGTACGACTAATACGCAGCTCTTCCTGAGCTCTATCTAGTTGTTTTTAATAATTCTTTATATCTGAAAGAAGAATGTCCTCATACCAACTCCAATCTTTTCATGGAAACTGGTTTTGCTAAATGCACGGTCCAGATTGATTTGGAACATTTAAAAAGTCTTTCCAAATGAAACCGGATTGTTCATTTAATTACTCTACCTACCATGGGTTCAATGAAACCGGATTGTTCATTTAATTACTCTACCTACCATGGGTTCACTGCGTAGATGCATTTTTTCAGGTGTGTGAATATCAAGGTGAAACCAATTAATAACCATTTCCTTTTTTACCCTTTGTGCAGCTCCACGGAGTGGATGACAATATTAGCAGGAGCAAGAAGATACTGACTAACATGTCAAGAAGGATGAACAGGAACAAATGGATCATCGGATCAATCGTCGCTGTCTTAGTGATCGCAATCATATTGATTCTCTACTTCAAGTTGGCACATTAGCTGAAAGCCCCCAGGTTTCTGTATCTACATCCCATGTTTCTGTGTTTTTTTAAAGTTAAAACTGGAAAACGCGCGCTTTGGATCTTCTGTTCTCATCTATCTGACTTATGGCTGTTATTTCAGTGTGGGCTCTTTCAGTCTTTGTTTCCTAATTGTATGTTGTACTTTAAGCCTCAAACTGCAGCTTTATATATAGCTTGTTTCATTTGTTAATGAATTGATGATTGAAAAAATAACCCTTTCCACATAATGAGGTAAAAATAATTACGGATCGGAGTAGAGATAACTCACACGACCCTTTGTGGTATCTCATAAGTGTAGTCGTCACCCGCAGTCTAAATAGTACACACTGTATCCTCTTCTAGTCAGAAAATTCTTGCACAAACGCTCCCTCTGTTATCTTTTATGACAATTTAACTTAGGTTGAGACTTTCACAACCAAAGTGCAGACGTAACTTTTTTTTAACCTCTTTAGGCTTGAAAATGACTATCTAACTCATAGTTTTACCTTATTCAATCCAAGACTAAGGTTGCATTCTCTTAAGTTTTTTTTCATTATTATTTATTTTTATTGAAATCAAAATAGATCTACTCAGATCTTATTATTGTTAATTTAACAATATTTATTTTCCAATAATTTTCTAGTGTGATCTGATCGGAATGATTTTGATGTTATCTAATTTGATTCCAATAAAAGTAAGTATAACAACAACAACCAGTTGGATCCCACGAAAGTAGAGTCTTAGGAGGGTGTGCAATAAGAGTAAGTAATAAGTAAAAAAATAAGATGAAAAGAACTCAACATTAATCTTGGATTGTAGAAAATGAAATTATGGGTTAGATTAGATGATCATTTTTCATTTTAAAAAAGAGTAAAAATGAATTCCATTCGCAATATGGGGATGTGTACTTGTGTGAGTCTCAACTTTGGTTGAAATGGATAGAAAAGATAAAATGGCTAGAAAAGATAACGGTGGAGGTATTTGTCCAAGAATCTACTTTCTTAAAAAAGGGTGAGAGTTTAGGGGTGGGGTGGATGATTTATCAAAATATGAGTGGGGGATAGAGGATCCCAACCCATTTTAGTTGAGGAGAAGTGGGGGTGAGGGTTTGTTTGGGGGGTAGTAAACACTTCATGATCGAATGAAATACCGTAAATCCTCTAAATAGACCGGTGTCATCGAATCTATCTTATGACATTAGAGTCCAATATGAATGAAACACAATGTAAATTTGGTGGGACAATAATAATTAAGTAAACAATATAACATGGACTTGACTTTATATATGATAATAAAAACGAAATACAGGGAAATAATTATAGAATAGATTACGTCGACACAACATATATAGAACGTGTAGTAACATCAGGATCACGTTCCATATTTATTTATGCATAATACACCCTTAGCTTTCTCTCACGAAACCGCAAGTATAATAATATATATCTTTTAAATTATAATAAAATGAGCTAGCCAGCTAACTGGCTGGATCTTTATATGCTCCATATATAATATTTCCAAGTATTGCTTGCTTATTTATCTGAAAAGGAAATCAATAGAATGTTAATTGAGACTAGAAGTAGTAGTAGTAATATTTGGCTGGCTATTTGAATCCCCCAGGAGTAGAAAAAGTCCACTCTCCAAGATTCATGGAGATGTTCACACAGGTTCGACGTATCCCAGTGGAGGTGTGTGTGTGTGTGTGTGTGTGTGTGTGTGTGTGTGTGTATATAATTTATATAAATAAATGAATGAACATATACCTGGCATAACATTAATTATTATAATTTAGGACCACTAGGACTATGATTAGGACCTCCGGGGGCTAGTCTATTTATTTCCGGCAGATATCTTCTTTTAGATATTTCAATGATCTCCGAGGGAATGAATGCCCTGAGATTCTCCAGGGCGTCATCGCCATGTTCAGCCACAATAACAGTAGTACTGTCATTGTCATTTTTGTAAAGATGGTTGTTGAGAATGCGCGCTTGAGAGAGCAAGAGACACGTGGAAACTAATACTGCGAAAACCGCGGTTTTGATGCTTGGATTTGCGCCCATCTTCGATCAACGACTGATATATATTCGATCGGTAGTAGCTAGTGCCCGGAAGATCTTGCAGATAGAGGTATGTAGCTGCTATAGGTAATTTATAATCGTAAACAAGTTGGAATGTGTGTGTATACACGACAACATCATTACATTATATACGGAATATATTACAACATTATATTAGTACCCAAGAAGTCAATATAAGGCAATATAAGTCAAACATCCCATTTTCGACGATTAAAATTGAAGTTCAGAGGACAATGGCCTGGCATAGTACGTGGAAGTGAAAGTGAATTCCAAACATTCCACTTTGGACGGATTACAATTAAAGTACTCCATAAAGTTTTTTTTTTGAAGGCGTCTCCATAAACCATGGATTACAAC